TTTCCGCTTCCTGCTAACTGTTTTCCGGGCCATAGTAGAAGGATGAGGAAGATGTGGATGAGAAGCGGCCCCACATGGAGCGGGACGGGGTGGTTCGGGGCATATGGAGCGGGACCGGGCCCGGGCTCTGTCCCTCAGGCCCCGCCGGCCGCGCCTCACGGCATTTTACAACACCACGGGGTTTAGTTTTTTAGGTGCTTTTTTTTTTTTTTTATTCTCCCTTCCCCTTTTTACGACAGTTGCGTCGCAACTTTGCGGCGGCGGCTCCGCCCCACCCGGGCACTTTGTTGCCTAGCAACCGGGCCGCAACCTCTGCTGTTGCCATGACAGCGAAATCAGCGTGACTAGGTATGGCGCCCCCTTGCGGCAGGGCGGGCTCAGTACAAGGTGGACGTTTGGGAATCGCCCCCAGGAAACCGAGATATTCCCAAACCCTTCGTGTTTGATCAGACTCTGAGCTCCGCAGGAAAGCCAAGACACTTGTGACCGACCAGTCTGTCAGGGTACCACTATAGGGTCAGAATCATAGAATCAATTAGGTCGTAAAAGACCTCTAGTATCACCCAGTCCAACCTATGAGTGAACACTAGGCTGTCAAACAGAACGTGGCACAGAGTGCCATGTGCAGTCTTTTCCTAAAAATCTCCAGAATGGCGACTCCTCCACCTCCCTGAGCAGTTCATTCCCAATGTCTTATCACCCATTCTGTGAAGAAATTCTTCCTAATGTCTAACTCTTCACTGAACTGTCCACTGGATCAGAAGGTGATTCAACTGACTTATTCAGGGTCACGTGGAAACACAAAAACCCCTTTGAGGGTTCTCACGCCTTTAGCTGGTCTCTTGGCACCCCAGGAAAGATCCAGGAATTCACACCAAAAGCATTAGAGGCCAGAAGGCATCTCCAAGGCCCCCACAGTTGAGTATTTTACCCACTGTTAACATTCTTGAAGGACAGTTTACAGAATAATAATATTTTATTAATGTAATAGAAAACTGACAGATTGAGGTGCAAATATTGGTGGTGATAGTATCTGGCTGCAAAAATGTATTCAGAGCAAACAAGACAAACAATCACCATACATAAGACTATAGTTTTGACAGGTTCAGCCTGACCAGTCAGTCAATCCCAGAAGTTACAGTGGAACCTTCCCTAACTTCTCCCCATTTTAAACTTAATTTTATACTGTTTTTGCACTACCTTGAGTAACTCTCATCATACATCATGTTCAGTGCGGGGTAGCTGTACCTTGCAGGTGGGTAATGTCAGTGTCACACCTGAGGTAGTCTCTGGAAGGGAGGCGGGCATTTGTGATCTTGCCACGGTAGCTGGTTTAGCAGTAAGGCATCTCCTTTTCCTCCTTGGTTTTCAGCTGCTGAGCAGTTTATCTGCACTACTGAGTTCCCCCTCTTGCCAGGATTACAACAGAGCCTGGCCCTGGTGTCTCCATTCTGCTCCACCCTCGCTTCAGTCCCCTTTAACATGGATTGTGTGTGGGAAGTTTGGCATGCTGACATCCCATCCAGAGAGTCACAACTGCACTTCACCCTCTGTTTTCTGTACTAGCTTCTGTTAGAATGTGAATATAACTCTCTGTTTTTCTCTAATTTTACCCCCATTCATTTTCCCACACATTCCACCTGGGAAATCACTTATTGCTGGAGAATTAAAGAGATAATACTATATTTGCATTTCATTGCACCCCTCTGAGACCCATGTGGAAGGATGTCTTTTTCTGATGTCCACATGGCTCATACACTCTTTTTCTATGTTTCAGAGGCAAAGCTTCATGTGATCCAAACCCAGCAATTGCTACTTGCCAGTGGTATTGCAGAGTAGAGAAAACATGTGATATGCAGACAGACTTTAAGAAAATGCCAGCTTCTGACCACCTGACATCTGATGCTGCCTCAAGTCATATGGAATCAGTACATATTTTCCTAATACAACATTGTTTTTGTGACCTTGAGCGTTTTCATCCAACCCCAAAGATAAAGGTGCTGTGAGAAAGCAAACTGAAGAAGAAATTATAAATGAACCTCTCAGGCTTTCCAGTTTCCTCTGAGGATAAAAGCTGTAATTCCAGTTTGGCCATTTGCAGTCATAATTTACCATGATTAACTCCTTTCTCCACATCCTCCCTCACATACACAACTACCACGCCCATTTTGGACAAAACCCCTCCATTTCGGATCAAGGATGGCTCAAAAGGCTGACAACCCAGCGGGAATGTCCCCGAAGTCCCTTGGGAAGGTGAGGTAGCCGTGGCTGCTGAGGGAAGAGGCAGAAGGGTGTGGGATGGGCATGGCCTCTCTGTGTCCCACCCAGCACCTACATCCAGCCCCTTGGGGAGCCCTGGCACGATGCAGAGCTGCGAGAGGGGCAGGAGGCGCTGGAGGAGCTCCCGGGCAGGGCAGGAGCTGGGGACAGACCTGCAGGCAGCACAGGGACAGAAGCAAGGACTGGATCAGAGTGACAGTCTGATCAGTGACATGAGTGACAGACAAAGGGACAGTGACAGAGACAGGCAGGGACAGAGATGACACAGGGAATGGGACAGGGTCAGAGGCAGGTAAAGGGATAGGGACAGGGGCAGGAGCAGCAGGAGGGGCAGGGAGGGGGCAAGACAGGGCGGGAGAGGAAACAGGCAGGACTAGGGACAAGGGCAGAGACAAGGACAGGGGCTCGAACAGCGATGGAACCGGGGCAGGGTTAGGGATGCAATACGGACAGAGGCTGGTAAGGGGACGAAAGAGAGGCAGGAATAGGACAGGGACAGGGTCAGTGGTTGGCAAAGGCAGACGACAGCGACAGGAACGGAGACACGGACGACACACGGAAACTCCCTGGCCCCGCCCCGCGAAGAGGCGTGGCTCCGCCTTCGCCCCGCCCCCTCCTCTCGCGGTGGCGTCACCATCCGCCGTTCCCGATTGGCCCGGCAGGCGCAGGTGACGTCACGGCATGACGCCATCCCGCCGGCGGGGCCCAGACAAG